ATTTGTGTAGTCCTGTCAGACTGACAGTGATCTTTGAAAAACTGCCCTTGCCCTTCCAGTAGTGGTTACATCTCTTGCATGCCCATTTTGTGGTGATTTCAGCTAAGCACTATTTCACTTGTTTCCTTATAAGAATGTCTCATGGGACAGTATTAAAAGTCTTAATTATAGCAAACTATAGCACACTATTGTTTCTTTGTTACTCACTCAGCCTTGAAGTACAAACTACATTGATTTGCCAAGAATAAATCAATCAAGAGGAGGCTGAGAGGAGACCTTATCGCTCTCTACAACTACCTGAAAGGAGGTTGTAGTGAGGTGGGTGTTGGTCTCTTCTCCCATGTAGTTAGCGATAGGACGAGAGGAAATGGGCTCAAGCTGTGCCAGGGGAGGTTTAGGCTGGAAATTAGGAGAAATTTCTTCATGGAAAGGGTAGTCAAGCATTGGAACAGGCTGCCCAGAGAGGTGGTAGAGTCACCATCCCTGGCAGTGTTCAAAAAACGGGTAGACGTGGCACTCTGGGACATGGTTTAGTCTAGTCTACCCTTGATTGGTTTAGAGTGGATTTGGTTGTGTAGGTTAATGGTTGGACTGGATGATCTTAAAGGTCTTTTCCAACCTAAACGATTCTATGATTCTATGATTCTATACCAATGTCAGCTGTTCTTGACAGCTTAGTAGCCTTCTGCTGATTTTTCAGTTGTTTTCTTTAATATTTTTCCAGTATGGTTCTAGTATCTTTTCTAGGTGCTTGTATGGAAGGCCTGGCTTCTAATTACCTTGATTTTCCTTTCCTAGATACAGAGAAACAATATTCAGCCCTCTTATACCTTTCCTTGTAATCTCAATTGTAATTATTGAGAGTTTGGAGATAATTTGGTTGGATCCTTAAACAGTAACTTGATTGACTGTAACTAACCTAAACAGCCTTCACTCCAGTCTTTCCATACTCTGACCTGTTCTCTTTTCCCAATGCGTAACACTATTGCAGTGAGTATCTGTAACTTTTTTCTGTATAGGAAGAAATGACATTTGACATGTCCTCTGTCAATTGCTGTCCTTCTTTAAATAGTGGACCTGACTGGTTTTTGTTATTCCTACTCCTAATGTGTTTATATAGCCTTTTCTTGCCTTTTATGTCCCATAGCAGGCTATCAAGTAAACCTTCTAACTGGAAAATTAACTGCTGTTAGATAATCCTTGTTAGGTACCTCTGTCTGTAAGGGAAAAACAAGTGATCTGGAGTATTCCCATTCACTAGTAAAAAGCTGGGCTTTTGCTTGTGGAAATGAAGGTCTGGAGTGTATAGGAACAAGAAGTGTTCAGCATTTCTAAAAAATTCACTTGATTTAAATTTAGTGTCCCATTTTTCTGGCAGAGAGGAATTGGATTACTTTTAAGGAACCATGTCTGTGTTCATATAGCATAAGAGGAGAGTGAACAACTGCACCCAGCTCAGCGCAGCACAAGAAATGAGGCTCTTATATTCTCAAATCAATTGGCGAAGGAAGAAAAAAAGCGCAGATGTGAAATAATAATGAGAAGAGAATAAATCAGGAACATGGAAACGAGCTAAGAGGCAGGCTGGATGGCATTTCTAGCTTGAATATCTGCAGTTCAACCTAAGCAACTGTATCAGAGGTATTTTTCCTGAAATACCTATGTAACTTAGGATCCAATATGAGCTTTAGCTCACAGGAATCCCAGTCTTCCTGAACAACAGGGTTAAAGTTTTTAAGTATCTTTGACTTTTAATAATGAGATTTTAACGTCTCAGCTGTGTGCTTTTGAAGGTGCTTTTCAGGCTTTCTTTTTTTCTGAAAATTTTGCATTTATACTCATCTTCCATTATAGTAAAAGGAGGTAAAAATATAACTGATGGATGGCAGAATTCCCTGGGAAAAACCGAAGAGAGTCCCATATCAGTGATGTGTAAGGGAATAATGCCAACAAAAAGAGGCAGTCATTTTTTAGCCTGGAGTTTTTACAGGCTTATTGCTTTTAGGCTTTAGTGTTTTGGGTTTTTTTTGGTGTGGTTTTTTTATCTGCTGCAGACCAGAGGTCTCAGCCCCTGTGAAGGAAGACTATTGTAAACTGTAAAATGCTCTCTTCCTTCCTCCGGAGATTCCACTGGCAAAGCAATTCTGATAAAGTTTTCTCCATTTGACTTCAGAGCTTCTGCCATGAGAAGGATGAGCACTTACCAGTAGGAAGCTCATAAAACAACTTGAAAAAGTGAATCTCCAGGAAAAGGTGTAGGATTTTCTGCCTCCTGGCTCCAGAGGGAATATAAACTGTTCTGGAGTTGTCTATAATTTTTCTGCGTATACAACTGTAACAGCTGATCAATGTTTTAGAAGAAAAAAAAAAAAAGGCTGCCCTATCAAAACTCATTATCATTAGTTTGTATTAGGATAAGGTTTACAGAACCCCTGTGAAATTAAGCTCTGCTGCATGATGTACTGTACAGGTGCATTAAAAGTACCAGCCTCTGTTAGGAGGGTTTACAATCTGAAGAACACACAGAGGAAGGTTGGCAGACAGGAAATGTTTTCATTCCCAATTTACAGATGAGCAGCTGAGGCTAAAGAAGTAGCAGTCCTGATCTGATGCTACCTGGAAGTCTCTGGGAGTCTGATTATTCTGAGCAAGGCTGGCCCAGACCTCGGCTTGCAGAATGTGTCTGTGGCATCGCTGAGAGTTAACTTCAACTTTCCAGAGTTCCTTGACAGTTTATTTGTGATTCTAGCTTTGCTAGTTCACATCTGCTAGAAAGTGTTCCTCCCCCTACAAATATTCAGTATATTGTTTTTAATCCTCACTCTATTCAATAACTAACTTTGATATGCATTCTAGGACTTTGTTGCAACTTCTAGTAAACTCTCATATTTTGATAGAAACTGAGGCTGTTTTAGAGTACAATCTTTACTCTGCCCTCTTCTCTGTGATGGATTCCTTTGATGGGCAGAGATCTATTAAGGTATGGCTACTTGACAAATATTGTTTTTTTGTGAAAAAATTGGGAATTGATACCAGCTGAGATCTTAGCTTGGGATCCAGCAGTCACTGATTTTTATTCTGTAAGGACAGGCTGAGGCTCCAAAATAAAAGCTCCAACATGCATTGTATAAGCTATAACTATGCTTTACAGATATGAAGTGGGTGCTACCCTATGTCCTCCTATCGCTGACAACCCTTGTTGAGTCCTTTGAATGTTGAGCCTCTTTAAACCTCACCCAAAATGGTGAATCTTTGTCTGGGGTACCAATTTGGCAACTGGACTGTCTGGTGGAGTCTCCATAGTAAGCGCCTGAATGGACATGGAAGAAGGGGTGGGGTGACATTGCTGATCAGGGCGCAAGGGAATAATATCACTTTGTGTCGACCAGGGTTGGGAGTGCTGGGGAAAGTGGACTCTACGACAAGCTTCTAGTGTCATGCCTTTGCACAGGGTTGGCAACCGAGCTAATGTGTCTATTACTCATGATGCCTATTCCCTACTTAGAGCCCTCAACAGTACTAGTGAGACCTCCTGTAACAGATGCGAGAAGGATACTTCAGTAAGAATATCCAAAACTACTGTTGCACGTCGCATGGCAAGTCACTCATCAGTGAAGTGGCATACATGTGAAGGTGCACATGAGGATCAAGGAGTGGAGTGGTGCAGCTGGAAGACTTGTGCAAGGAGTCAGTGATCATCATGCTTACTGCCTTCTCATATACACAGGTGCACTCCAAATAGCCTGTGACTGCTTACCAACCCACTATAGCAAAGTGTCCATGATTACTCAGGTGTGTGTCTCCATACCATGGACACCATGTGACTGCTCTCTGCAGTAGTATAACTAATCAATGTATACACAATAAATGTGCATGAATTCCGTATGAGACTAGTGTATTGTCTTGTCCACCTGAAATATTATATGCACCTGTTCAGGAATTGTAATTCCATTGAGGTAAGGATATTGGAGCATATTGTCCAAGGGACTCTTCAAAGCTAAGTCCACATTCCAAGCTTGACTGCTACGAGTGACTGATGAATCTATACTGTGAGCAAGACTCTAGAAGAGTACTAGCAATCCTGGGGCTCACAAACCTCACCACAAATGAGAACTCTGCACAGCATGCTGTGATCCACAAGAAGAGCTTGTCCAATGCTGCAGTTTCTACCTTTTACTCAGACTTAGTTAACCAGCTTTGAGTGTTGGTGCCTTTCTTACTGAGATCCCAAACTGCCACCTCCTTGGTGCAAAACATTATGCTAGGTGAAAAGTTGGATCTGCTTATTCATGCAACTAACTCAAACTAACCATCTTGCTCCTTCCTGATATCCTGGAATTGTCTGTTTCTGTCAGTAAAGCTATGTAATGCGGCACTTGGCAGTTTGTCAGCACAGTCTGGGGGTTGATTTGGCAGGGGGAAGCATCAGGCTGTGGGAGGGCCAGATCCCAGGATTTTCCGAGAAATTTTTTTCCACACGGAATTTCCCATCTCGTGGAGGACAGGCCAGTTGAGAGAATAAAAGGCTGTAGTAAAGCCAGGAGATTACACAGGCAAGACACTTGGAGCTGAACTTAATCTTCAAGTCTGTATTCAGCAACTTAGCAACGGAAAGCAGTCACTGAGAAACACCGCAGAGGACTTGCCACCTGGCCACCACAGCTGCAACCTGTGAGTATAAATGGAGTGTGTTACTGTGTTTCATTGCTCAGCTAAAGAGAAATTGGATAGATGGAATTCTGTGTTGGTGTTCTTTAAAAGCTGTTTACATTAAAAGGTATCTTGATATTAAGAACTGTTTTAAAATGAATAATTTCCTAAAAATGGAAATCTTATTTAAGTCTTTAGAATGATTGTTAAAAAGTACGTAGAAAAGATTGCATAGATAGTATTTTATATTGAATTGTAAAAAGTCAGTATTTGCTCTTTACAAATGTCTTCCTTTGATCTTTCATAGCCATCTGCTTAAAAGATATAGAGAAGAGAAAACTCTCAGAAACATGATTCGCTTGTGGTTCCCCTCTCTTCTTGCTTATGGTAAGTGTGTATGTCTCTGTGTAGAAAACTAGTTGGATGGTAATATTAGTGTGCCTGTTCTGTCTGAGCTCAGAATTAAACAGAACTTTTGAACATGACCTAGTTAGCTTGAGGCTAGGTTCACATAGAAAAAACCTCTAGCTGCAATGGCATGTTTCCCTGCTTGCCTGTCAAACACATAATTGGCTCCTATAGTTTGCTATGAAGTCTGCAAAGCTTTGTGTGATTGAACATAGTTTCATGGGCTGAAGTCCCTGTACTTGATGTTGATATGCCTGTTTTGAAGCTTGCCAGTTAATTGTTTATAAAATCATTGCTGCTACTTTTTATGCAGTTTCAGATTATGACATTTGCAATATTTATAGAGCTTTATATGTCCTCTTCTAGAGAGAGAGGAGGGAAAAAGTCGGACACCAACTTTTTGACATCTTTTCATTCTAGGACTTACAATACTGCAGGGGGTGAATTGTTGGACATACCATTATTCAGACACAAACATGACCTACAGGGAAGCAGAGCTGTGGTGCAAAAAGAGGTATACTAACATGGTTGCCATTCAGAATAAGGAGGAAATCAACTACCTCAATAACTTCTTACCCTTCAATCCGGGTTACTACTGGATTGGTATCAGAAAAATTAATGAGGTGTGGACCTGGATTGGAACTAACAAAGAACTGACAGAAGAGGCAGAAAACTGGGCTTCGGGTGAGCCAAATGGCAAAGGGAACAATGAGGACTGTGTTGAAATCTACATCAAAAGAGGGAAGGATGATGGCAAATGGAATGATGAGCAGTGTGAGAAAAAGAAGGTCGCCTTGTGCTACACAGGTATGGTATGATAAAGGCCATTCTCATGTGCCCCTGTGGAGATGGGATGGTGGTTGGGATGAGTTGTTTAACCTAGTCTTACATATTAACTACCTGGCCCTGTAAGCACTTGTACACTTATTCTTACTTATAGGGCTGAGGTTGTTCTTGTTCTGAGCTGGATTGATCTCACTTACCTTTTAGCTCCCAGAATATTATACATCTTTTATGAGCAAATCACCAGACCTTCTCTATAATCAGTGGAGACAAACAGGCTCTTCCAGATGGTGACTTTCATCCCACTCTCAAGTGGGCGTCTCAGTTAGATAAGAATGGCCCTTTTGGAAGCATCTGTCTGCTGACTATAGATGACTGGATTAGATTAGACACTTTGTGTAGAGGTGGCTAAGGCTAAGTCAAAAAAAAAAAAATCCAAGTCAAGTATCAGCCCAATTAGAGCTGTGGTGAGTTAATGAAGGATATACCTGTTGAGGATTTCTACCTACGCCATAGTATATTGTTCCTTTTGCATTTTAAATATTGCTAATATCTACCTGAGAACAAGCGAGTCATGGAGTTTCCTGCCAGCAGAATCCTTTCACTGTGAGCTAGTCTGTCAAACGTGTTGATTTCTGAAATGCTTCTGTGAAATGGCAGGGTAATCTTATGTACAAAACACCCTGCTTTTCTTTTGCTGTACAAAGTGTTTGTTTAGTGCCAGGAAGATAAACAAACCACTAGCCAGGTTTCGTTAGTGGCCATTGCTGATTCTTTTATAATTTGCTGTATTTTTTTTTCCAGCTTCTTGCAACCCATCTCTCTGCAATGGCCATGGAGAATGCATAGAGACTATTAACAATCATACCTGCCATTGTAACCCTGGATTCTACGGGCCTGAATGCGAGTTTGGTAAGATTACTCCATCCTGCTTTTCAACCAGGATGATGTTCATGCTAGCTAGTGTTCAGTTTGTCTGGCTTGTCGATTTACCTGCTCATTGGCTAATGAGACTGACTGTGTACCTTCTTGTGTTTCTTTGAAGTTGAGAGTTGTGATCCACTACAGAAACCTGATCATGGGAGCCTTGAGTGCAGCCATCCATTGGAGAATTTCAGCTACAACTCATCCTGCACAGTTCAGTGTGAGGAAGGCTATGAACTGACTGCATTGGAATCTGTATACTGTACCTCTTCTGGGGTCTGGTCTGCCCCCCTTGCAGCATGCAAAGGTGAGCTTATCAAGCAGTGACACATGAGCTTTCTACGTTGTACATAGCTCTGTAAACTTAAGTGTTGCTCTGTTAGTAGATACAAATTGAAGTTCTGGCCCATTCCTTTGTAATTAATTATGTGGTGAAGGTGCTATTTTATTGCAGCACACAGATGTCTCTGTTCCTGAAGAGCTGAAATGGGCAGGATGAATGTTCTGGCCCTGGTCTAGATTTCCT